TGTTTGGATTGTAGCGTCTATTAGGCCTAGGGTGATTAGATTAGGATTTATAAGCAACATAAATACAAGACCCTTTTTCCTATTTGTCCAAATTCAATAAGACCAAAGTCTACCATCTAATTGTCCATTACGTCAAAATATGTACGGTGAGCCATATTGTCACTATGAGTACTGTTTAGACTTGAGGATGATAGGATGGTTGGATTTGGAATCATTTATCTTATTCTTCTTGAGGTTATCTTGAGATGATTTCGGGGCTTAGCGTCCCCGCGGCCCGGTCCTCGATCAGGCCTCCTTTTTGTTACACCCCTCCCCCTCCCAGGAAGCAGCCTGTAGCAGCTGTCTAACTCCCAGGTACCTATTTACTGCTAGGTAACAGGGGGCATCAGGATGATAGAAACTCTGCCCCGTTTGTTTCCGCCCCCACCGGGAATCGAACCCGGAACCTCAGGACGACGAATCCGAAGCGCTGTCCACTCAGCTGTCAGACTCCATCTGACAGCTGTTATAGGGCCCATTTAATATTTAATTTCGCTGATTCATACTTCATAACCTTTGTGTGTGTCTATATTCCTTCTCAGTTATTCCTATTACATTCCCATTCCTGCTATTTCCCATTCCCAGTTATTAGGTTCATTTTCCCTGTGTTGTAACTATGAACGGGGTTATTATGACATGGTCATTGTAACAACGTTATTATAACGAGGTCATTGTAATGGATCGTTAAGAAGAGGTTATTGTAAGGGTTCATTGTGACGAGGTCATTGTAAAAGGTGTTTGTGACAAGGTCATTATAGAAAAGGGAAGGGGGAGGGGGGGCGGGGGGGGGGGGTGATACCGAGGGTGACTCACGATACTGTCCGGTCAAGATCCAACCATTTAACCAAACCAGTCACGTATGTGAACCCAAGCAACCCACTTAACCCATCGAGAGCGGTGCGTAGAAAACCGGAATATTTGCGAGCCGTGACTCTTTTTTTTCTTATTAATTAATAGCTTGTATTTGCACCGTTGGTTACGCTTATGTAAACAGCGCCATCGGGAAGTTAGTTTAGAGCCCTTGAAGGCACCGAACCACCAAACCACTGCTGGCTAAGTGGTGCTTGCCTATTTAAATGGTAATTGGAGAGAGAGAGAGAGAGAGAGAGAGAGAGAGAGAGAGAGAGAGAGAAGAGAGATGAAAGATAATTGGATAATAATAGCCCGTTCTGAGTCATGGATATATTGACACTCCGATGTTGACTTATTAATTGTAAATGTGTAACTTAGTCGGAGGAGTTGGGGGGGTGGGGGTGGGGGGGGGGGGGGGGCTCCGAGTGTTGATGGGGCTGGTATTGGCTTCCTGTAATTACCCAACCATCTCAGCTCCTCCAGGGGTGATTCAACTGTAATAAAATATATATCTAAAGTCTTCATATCTAAATAATGTTTTCGTAATTTAACTACAGTAAATGTGTTTTTTTCCTTATATATATATATATATATATATATATATATATATATATATATATATATATATATATATATATAATGACTAATAATTATATAATAAATTTGAATAATTATTCTTTTAATGGCTGTAAATTTCCTCACAAATTGCAGGTTTGCATAAGAGATTACAGGGATGAGTCGTGTGAGGTGATTAATGTGTTGGGAGGCAAGGAGCGGGGAGAGCAGGCTGGGATTAACGATGAGTTCTTTCTTGCAGGTATGTGAGCTGTGAGACGCTACCCACACCACGCAGGCAGCCAGGTGAGGGAGAGAGAGAGAGAGAGAGAGAGAGAGAGAGAGAGAGAGAGAGAGAGAGAGAGAGAGAGAGAGAGAGAGAGAGAGATGCTCACCGTGCAATGAGGCATCAGATCTTGTTAACACAATTAAATCTGGTTAATGCCTTTAACATGTTATCCAAATCTCGTTTTGACCCCCATAGCTCTCAGCACACCTTCTCGACCCTTCTCTCTCAATATCCCGTTTCCTGTCCCCCCGCACACAACTCCTTCACCTCCTGTCCCTCCTCCTGTTTAACAGATCTCTGACCCTGTCCCATGGAGTACCACAAGAACAAATATATATGCTGGTAGCATTGTGTGTGTGTGTGTGTGTGTGTGTGTGTGTGTGTGTGTGTGTGTGTGTGTGTGTGTGTGTGTGTGTGTGTGTGTGTGGCCACGTATCTGGTAGAAAATAATAATAAAAAGTAAACTCCTTCCTGTAAGTGTTTTCCACAACTTAGGTCTGAACTTTAACTGTAGCAGGAAAAAAGCGCGTCATTGACTTACATGTTGCAAAAGATGAATCACAGTGACCAGAACCTCAGGATATACTGTTGACTTAGGCCTTCACCACATGACTGACACATGCGCCATGTGGACACATAGGCTTACATTTCATGGGCTGAGAAGCTAGCTAGATATTAAAATTACTCATTTAAAGAGGGAAGAGTAAGAGTAGCATCCCTGTTTGCTAGGAGTTGGTCAGGGATGGATATATTGGGGGACGTCCCCCTCCCCCCCTGCCAATATATCCAAGAATTACGAATATGATAGTTCATGTTTTAGTCAACTTGGAGGATGCTGTGTGACCCTTCCCCTTCTCCAATCACTTAGTGTCGTGTAGGGATTAGATTAAAACAGTTAAAATCACTTGTTTTGATTATTTAATACTTAGCCAGAGGAGATGTAACTCCAAACGTCATTCTGGTGAGGCAGTTAATCTTAAGAACTTAAGAACATGAAAAGCCATGTAAGATGCGAATGTTGGCTATGAATTTGCGCGTCCACTTGCGAACCGTCAGCACAAACCCTCTCAATATATTGGCAAGACGATATCATCTCTTACAAGGCAGCTGACAATGCACAAATAACAAGGCTACATTAAGGATCACATCATTTCCAAACATAACATTACCAGGCCATCACTAGAGAGAGAGAGATCCAGACTAGCAAGCAACAATGAAGTGCAGATACAGTAACACTATAAGTTATGACATAACAGAAGAACTTCATATCAAACACTTTTATGCAGTTAACTATCAACAGCCAGATTAAATTTAGGTACATGCAACCGTCAACAAGACCAAAAGAGAACTGCCAGTTAACCCACCCACCTATTGTCCCAGTCAACCTAACCTAACCTAACCCACCCACCTATTCTCCCAGCCAACCTAACCTAACCTAACCCACCCACCTATTCTCCCAGCCAACCTAACCTAACCTAACCCACCCACCTATTCTCCCAGCCAACCTAACCTAACCTAACCTAACCCACCCACCTATTGTCCCAGTCAACCTAACCTAACCTAACCCACCCACCTATTCTCCCAGCCAACCTAACCTAACCTAACCCACCCACCTATTCTCCCAGCCAACCTAACCTAACCTAACCCACCCACCTATTCTCCCAGCCAACCTAACCTAACCTAACCTAACCCACCCACCTATTGTCCCAGCCAACCTAACCTAACCTAACCCACCCACCTACTCTCCCAGCCAACCACTGAGAATGGAATAACAAATCATTCGGCTGTCAACAGGGGGTAACCACCGCTCATCACACCTGTATAGAAATGATGATGGCATTCTGTGGCCCGAATAGCACTATGGTGGCACCGTTACACGTGTCATTATAATGGCACTGTAACACAAGTGGCACCATGATGGCACTGTTGCACAACTATCACCATAACAAAACAGTCGTAATCAACTTGGGAATGACACTGTTATACATCGTTAAGAAAAACTTGCATCAAGAGTGTATACATATACATATATACATATACATAGATGTAATCTGGACTTCACAAGGAAGACACAAATAGAGTTCTATGAATATCACCGCCTAAGTTTGAACACTCAACAGTAGATTTAAATTGGAGAAATTTAGATGCAGAAAAGTTATAAATATATATGGTCACGGAAATAGGGTTGCAGATCTATTCAAGTTACCAATTAGCATTTTATAAAAGAGGTGGGATAAGTCTTCAGTGGCGAAGTGGTAATATATTCGTCCCGTGTTTCGCAAGCTCATTGGTCCGTGTTCGAGTCCTTGTTAGGGGAGGATGGACTAGAACTCACCTGGGTTCTAGAGGGCTCGAACCTCGAACCCAACATTTTGTGAGGTTGTTTATCCATATATTTATCCGTTACAAAAGGGCCCAATAGGCGGTCATATAGGGGCGCCTTATAGGGCCATATATGCGGCACCTTCTGTGTGTATATATATATATATATATATATATATATATATATATATATATATATATATATATATATATATATATATATATATCCACCCAAAGTCAAATATCTTAATATATATACTTTGAAACAAGCCAACAACCTCACGCCTATTAAGTCAGTCGGTAATTGGTTCCCTAAGTCTACAGCGCTGTTCTTGGTCGTCCCTGGAGGTCTGGGGAGCCCCTGAGGGAGGAGGAGGTGTGACAGGGACCCAGGGGCTCTAGGGACGCAGGGGAAGGCGTTCTCTGTATAAGTTAGGCTGATGATCAACAACGTTCTCCTAATTTGATGGCCAAGGTCATCATTTTCGTATTAGCGTCGCGGGGTATAATGACTCACAATTATATGTTGCTAGACGCGCCGTTCCTCACACCCCCCTCACACCCCCTCTGTGTTAACCCCCCCTCCCTACCTCACTCTCACCCCCCCTCACCTCACTCTCACCCCCACCCCCACCCTTCCCACAACCCCCTAAACAACAGGGGTGAGGCCCTAAGGGGCACCTGACCATTATTGGGTTAGTCTCGCCTCTCTCCACACACA